AAAAAAAAAAAAAAAAAAAAAAAGAGGAGCCACCTTCGAAACTCGTCCATCGAGAACTTTGTACGACATTGGCAGTACTACTAGTCAGGCAAGCAAGAGGAAAATTTCAGGAAAACTTCCGAAAAAGTGTAACGATAAAAAGTTGAACAACCAGATAATTTTCATATGACAAAAACTCATGATGAACAGATCAAGAGAGAGGTCAAGTGATCAAATCCTGTTCCCAACTTTCCAAGAGCCTTTCCTCTTCAAAAGACAAAATGAAAAAGAAAGAAAAAAGTTACGTTGGGGAGAAACGTACGCCTCCTTGTCATGTTGTGCAAACAGAAGCTCAAACTGAAGCATCACAGCTGTCGCAAATGGCCCCTGCAAGCGCACCACATAGCATTCCACGCCAGCATATCAATACCAGGCATTGCACATAAACTGTTGAATACAGTGTGTACTTTTAAGAGCCTCGGACCTCCTCCGTGCATATGCACGGATTCAAACCGGCAACCTCAGCCTCAAGAGCTGAGTTTCTTAACCGATACAGCAATGGCACAGTGTACAAAAGTGGATCCATGCGGGTCGTGATATCCACCCCACACCCCTGCATGGCTGCAGCGTCCTTAAACTCACACCCATACACACACAACACCAGACTCAGGCATTCGCCACACAGGCAGTTTTCGCTCACTCTGCTCCCATCCAGCACGACTGCTTTTCCAACGGGGCTTTACCCACGGGCCACCACAATCCTGGTCTGATTTTCCAGGCTGGTTATCGGGCTAGGGTACAGTCTGTGTACTTTTATCAGCCTCGGACCTCCTCCGTGCATGCACGGATTCGAATACAGACCTGAGTTTGAATCCCTAGATGAACAGAACCAAATATTCTGAGTTACCAGGGGCCGGTCAGTTTGATGATAGCATCTCAAGGCCGTCACTCTTTCAAGGGAAAAGAAGAAGAAGAAGAAGAAAACAAGCAGCGAAAATGGAGTCCACTAAGGTGGTACATTGCTAACTCAGTCTCGGTCCCAAGGTTCCGAGTCCCATGTCCCATAAGTCCCAGTCTGGTAGGTAGGTAAGCCGAGTCTAAGCCGTAGGTCCGGTAGGCTGTAGGTCCAATACCGTGCGGTCCAGTCCTGTCCGGTCAGTGGCCCAAGTCACAAGATAGCCGGTGAACATTATTCTCGTTGCATCACCGACGACAGCCAGCAAGTGGGGTTATCGAATCCGAAAAGTCTGAGGTTGGGCGATTGAAGCGTCGCATACAAAAGTCTGACGGCAGTGGGCATCAACATCTTTTCCAGTCGAGCTTGTTGCGGAAGCACTGCTGCGGTCTTGTGCGACCGAGTATCCAAGTGAGGCTGGAGTGTGCGGTCAAGTAGCTGTAGTCAACGGCGCTGGGCGCCGTAGCTCTAGTTCCAATTTTCCCACTACAAATCATTTGGCTTCTGAACAATGCTCTCCTTTGCTGCTTGATTTTTATTTTATATTTGCAATTCGGATGAAATATTCACGACTTGGAGTAACATTGTCCATGATTCTCGATACTACGCCTCCCATGACCTTTTTTTTCTTCTTCTTCTTCTTCTTTTTCTTTCCCTTTCATTCAGTGACCTTAATAACCCCTAACAAAGAGAAGCCCTAGTACGCTAGATATCCCATGATTTGCATATTAAATATTATTAAACAAAAAAACAAGGAAAGTCCCCCGCCTCAATTTCAAATCTGTTAATAAAATTGAAAAAAAAAAAAAAAAAAATCTACAACAGACAGAAACTTCAGAAACACTAAAGACAAAAGGAAAAGAAAGATAGGAAACCAAGCCAAGTGTTTGAGGCTTTGAGCATAAACGTCATAAACGCCATAAACACTTACACGGTTGACGTCCACAAGGAGGTCGAACGCCAGCATTTCCTGGAGGGCCACATCCTGTCTTGAGAACCGGATACGGAATGGCTGCGTGCGGAAGCTGCAGTCTTCGTCATTGATATGCCAGACAGCTCGCGGTTCACCTTTTCTAGAATCAGGAGCTGAGTTACAAAGCCAGAAAAAGGAGAGAAAAAATGTGATGACCATTACGAATCAGTTGTACGGAGTTGAGTTACACGGCCAGAAGAAGAAGAGAGAGAAAACGCGATGCCCATTTACACTCTTAATTTCATACTAAACACATTTCCAATTTCGAATTTTCTAATGAATTTAGAAAGAACTCCGCGGGGCATCACCGACACACACAGCAGACTGAAGGGTCTGCATCGCTTCCGACTGGCCCAGTGGTTTTGAAACAACGTGTGCGGTCGTCCTTCATGACATCCAGTAACAGTCTGCAGAACATCAGAGCCATCAAAAACAGTCTGCAGAATCCCCTAACTGATTACACTGTAAGTGATCATCCACCTTAACCCCAGTTGTGGTTAAGCATCAACGACTGCCCGACAACTGATGTATTTTTCTCTCAATTTTTTACCCTTCAGACCACCGGAACACCGGACACGGGACACCGAACATTGCAAACGAACAGACAATCAGAGCACAGATCAGGATATATTACTCGGAAGCTCTACTCTGTGCAGGGAGTAGTGCCTACCGTCTTCACCCGAATAGAACGCCTGGTCATAATAGCTGTATTTGGCACAACTTTTGGGCCAGATGCAGTGATAATGACTGGGCGTTCTATTCGGCTGAAGACGGTAGGCTCCTAACCCCTAGTGAGGGAGGGCCAAACTCGTATTTCTGCCAAGATCAGCCGGGGGGGGGGGAGCAAGCCAACTATACAGCTAGTGCACCCAAAGTGCACCGCAGGGTGCCGCAGGGGATCGAAAAGATGACATGGGTAATCAAACCCGCGACCTCCTGAATGACAATTGTATGCTCTACCAACTGGCTAGGCCGCTGGGCCACCTGCATTACTGATTTGAATATTTCTTTGGTGAATATTTTACTATTTTGCAGTGACCGTGTCCTTTTGATTTCCGTTTGCTTTTGCGTTGGTGTGTCTGTTTGTGGGAGCGCCGGTCCAGAGTGTACATTCCATAGATGGCTGAGGTAGGGCCTTGGAGACTTTTGTCGGCATTTGGACCAGAACCATTTGTCCTGTGTGCGTGTTTGTAGCATCCCTTGGCACACAGGACTGTTCGTACAACCATGGAGGCCTCAGACCTGGTCCAAAGTGTGCCCCTGAGTCAGGTGCGCAGTCAGGATCAGCGCCCCTGACCCAGACTGAATCGGCTGTCGGTAGTGGGCTTGGTAGGCAACAATCTGCTGTAGCAGCGTAGCACTGGAGGTAGGTGAGTAGATGAGCGCCAGAGGGCAGGGTGATATGCTGTGTGTCGAATCACATGCTCACATCATAGCCGGGGCCCCATGGGAGCTGGACTGAGACCTGTTCCCTGCAAGACATAGGCGGCTCAAGGCACCACCTTTCAGCGGATGATACTCTACACACACACACACACACACACACACACACACA